GATCCAGAGGAGGAATGGGAGAAGGTAATGTGGTCTGATGAGACAAAAATATTGCTTTTTGGTCTAAACTCCACTCGCCGTGTTTGGAGGAAGAAGAAGGATAAGTACAACCCCAAGAACACCATCCCAACCGTGAAGCATGGAGGTGGAAACATCATTCTTTAGGGATGCTTTTCTGCAAAGGGGACAGGATGACTGCACTGTATTGAGGGGAGGATGGATGGGGCCATGTATCGCGAGATCTTGGCCAACAACCTCCTTCCCTCAGTAAGAGCATTGAAGATGGGTCGTGGCTGGGTCTTCCAGCATGACAACGACCCGAAACACACAGCCAGGGCAACTAAGGAGTGGCTCCGTAAGAAGCATCTCAAGGTCCTGGAGTGGCCTAGCCAGTCTCCAGACCTGAACCCAATAGAAAATCTTTGGAGGGAGCTGAAAGTCCGTATTGCCCAGCGACAACCCCGAAACCTGAAGGATCTGGAAAAGGTCTGTATGGAGGAGTGGGCCAAAATCCCTGCTGCAGTGTGTGCAAACCTGGTCAAGAGCTACAGGAAACGTATGATCTCTGTAATTGCAAACAAAGGTTTCTGTACCAAATATTAAGTTCTGCTTTTCTGATGTATCAAATACTTATGTCATGCAATAAAATGCAAATTAATTACTTAAAAATCATACAATGTGATTTTCTGGATTTTTGTTTTAGATTCCGTCTCTCACAGTTGAAGTGTACCTATGATAAAAATTACAGACCTCTGCATGCTTTGTAAGTAGGAAAACCTGCAAAATCGGCAGTGTATCAAATACTTGTTCCCCCCACTGTATATATATATATATACAGTGCCAGTCAAAAGTTTGGACACACCTACTCATTCAAAGGTTTTTCTTTATTTGTACTATTTTCTACATTGTAGAATAATAGTGAAGACATAAAAACTATGAAATAACATTTATGGAATCATGTAGTAACCAACAAAGTAGCCATCCTTTGCCTTGATGACAGCTTTACACACTCTTGGCATTCTCTCAACCAGCTTCACCTGCAATGCTTTTCCAACAGTCTTGAAGGAGTTCCCACATATGCTGAGCACTTGTTGGCTGCTTTTCCTTCACTCTGCGGTCCAACTCATCCCAAACCATTTCAATTGGGTTGAGGTTGGGTGATTGTGGAGGCCAGGTCATCTGATGCAGCACTCCATCACTCTCCTTCTTGGTCCAATAGCCCTTCTACAGCCTGGAGGTGTGTTGGGTCATTGTAGTGTTAAAAAACAAATGATAGTCCCACTAAGCGCACACCAGATGGGCTGGCGTATCGCTCCAGAATGCTGTGGTAGCCATGCTGGTTAAGTGTGCCTTGAATTCTAAATAAATCACTGGCAGTGTCACCAGCAAAGCACTCCCACAACATCACACCTTCTCCTACATGCTTCATGTGGGAACCACACATGCGGAGATCATCCGTTCACCTACTCTCAGTCTCACAAAGACACAGCGGTTGGAACCAAAAATCTCAAATTTGGACTCATCAGACCAAAGGACAGATTTACACCGGTCTAATGTCCATTGCTCATATTTCGTGGCCCAAGCAAGTCTCTTCTTCTTATTGGTGTCCTTTAGTAGTGGTTTCTTTGCAGCAATTTGACCATGAAGGCCTGATTCATGCAGTCTCCTCTGAACAGTTGATGTTGAGATTTTTCTATTACTTGAACTCTGTGATGCATATATTTGGGCTGCAATCTGAGGTGCAGTTAACTCTAATAAACTTATCCTCTGCAGCAAAGGTAACTCTGGGTCTTCCTTTCCTGTATTGTGGAGTAACTACAATGTTGTTGATCCATCCTCAGTTTTCTCCTATCACAGCCATTAAACTATGTAACTGTTTTAAAGTCACCATTGGCCTCATGGTGAAATCCCTGAGTGGTTTCCTTCCTCTCCAGCAACTGAGTTAGGAAGGACGCCTGTATCGCCCATCTACCAATAGGTGCCCTTTGCGGGGCATTGGAAAACCTCCCTGGTCTTTGTGGTTGAATCTGTGTTTGAAATTCACTGCTCGACTGAGGGACCTTACAGATCATTTTATGTGTGGGGTACAGAGATTAAGTAGTCATTCAAAACTCATGTTAAACACTATTATTGCACACAGAGTGATTCTATGCAACTTATTATGTGACTTGTTAAGCACATTTTTACTTTTGAACTTATTTAGGCTTGCCATAACAAAGGGGTTGAATACTTATTGACTCAAGACATTTCAGCTTTTCATTTTTTATTTATTTGTTAACATTTCTAAAAACATTATTCCACTTTGACATTATGGGGTATTGTGTGTAGGCCAGTGACACAAAATCAACATTTTATCAATTTTAACTTCAGGCTGTAACACAGTTTTGGGGGGAAAAAGTCAAGGGGTGTGAATACTTTCTGAAGGCACTGTATTTAAACAGGGCAAATCAGAGGGGGCACATGCCCCTGTGCCCCCTATGGGCATGACACCTCTGCTACACACTCACATAGTGTTCATAGTGTTTCATGGAAATAGATTAGGCATATGCCCATATTGCCCCTGGGCCATTCCACCAATTTGGTACCTTTTCTTTTTGTCATAAAGAGCACATGTTCAACTTCACAAAAAACAAGAGGTTAAATAAAATATGACTATAGTATGTGCCTATTAACTGCCAAATGAAGTAACAGGGTTGACCATAACAAGGTTGACGATTTCATCTTAAATCAGCCACTAATTGCAACATGGGAGTGGCAATTGAATGTAAGCTTCACAAAACAATTTAATTGTTAAAGGCCCAGTGCACTCAAAATTTTGATTTTCCTGTGTTTTATTTATATTTCCACACTATGAGGTTGGAATAATACTGTGAAATTGTGAAAATTATGATAATGCCATTTTAGTGTAAGAGCTGTTTGAAAAGACTGCCTGGAATTTCAGCCTGTTTTGGTGGGATGGAGTTTTGACCTGCCTGGTGACATCTGTAAGAAAGAGAGTTCCAAACCTCTCTGCCAATAGATGCAGTAAAGAGGTCAATGGAACGCAGACTGTGGGAGATAGAAGTAGGAAAGGACTGCACTGGGCACAGACGTCAATTCAACGTCTATTCCATGTTGTTTCAACTTAATTTCGTTGAAATGACGTGGAAACAACATTGATTCAACCAGTGTGTGCCCATTGGGATGCTGGATTGGTGCACATTCAACAAATCTGATCTAACAAAGTGGATATTCATCAAATATGCCATGATTGATGTATTGTAACAGTTCCACAATGTGGTTACTAAAGTCTGATTTTGATGTATTTGGTTGCTTTCGCTGCATAACATTTAGAAGTAGTCCCTTTTCAGGTTTAGAAGAAGTGACAAATGCTAACTCCCGCTCGTATAAGCTGATAGCATAGCTAGTATAGAGAAATCGGTGGTGGTAGTCAGTCATTTTTAACTGTAATGCAGTTGATTGGTGACGATGACATTAACATGTATTGGGGTTGACATCCATACAAGCATTATACTCAGATTTTTACCTCAACATAGTGTGAGATACACATATAAACAATAGCCTAAATGTGGGCTAATTTTGCTGGGGGGCAATGAGGAGACTCGGGATCTTTCCCCCACAGTATCTTATCCTCCATGCGTTTCCATGGCAATTCCATTGTTTTGGCAGAGTTCCATTGACCTTTTTACTGCATCTATAATAGCTCGTTTTCAGTTTTCCCCTCCCTACTCAGACCACTCCCAAATAGTCCTAGCAAAATTCTTGCATGAGAAATTGCTCTTTGCTAAGAAGCAATTTATGTTTATTTTTGACAATTTTAGAGGCCCATTGCAGCCATTTTTTAAATCTCAATATCAAATAATTTCTGGGTAACAATTAAGTACCTTACTGTGATTGTTTTCAATTAAAATGGTCAAAAAGAAACAAAAATTGCTCCTTAGCAAAGAGCATATTCTCAAGACAGAATTTTTCTAGGACTGTCTGGGAGTGGTCTGAGTGGGGAGGGGAAACCAGCCTGTTTTGGTGGGATGGAGTTTTGGCCTGCCTGGTGACATCACCAGGCTGTAAATTACTTAATAGACCAATAAGAAAGAGAGTTCCAAACCTCTCTGCCAATAACAGATCATCATCAAATATTGCCTTTGACACATGCTGGGCAGTCAGAATTTACTTTAATCCCATCCTTATAGTTTGGAAAACGAAATAGAAGGGTAATAAACAATTTAAGAGCATGTACACTGTAATCGCTTAATGAATTAAGCTCTTGATAAATAATTTGTATGGTTGTGAAATATCAAATATATACATCAACAATAGTGTTTTAGAAAACAGTAGGCCTTTGCACACTCACATTCCTGTAATTTTGCAAAAGTATGCTTTTCCAGTCAATGAAATAAGTAGAAAACGGTATAACGTTATTGTAAAAAACACATTTTATTTACATTTTGAACGTTGCCATCAGACAAACGTTCTACCCGTATCACTCTTAAAACCTGCCTCACTTGTCCCTGTAGAAAAAGGTTAAGGAAGTGTGCTTTGCAATCAAATTGGAGCAGGAAATGCAAAAAGTTTGTCAAACAGAAGCTCCAAATGAATAATATGCATTTTCTGTCCAGTTAAACTTAAAATAAAATGTATTGCCTACCTGATTTCTCATTTTATTAACAAACACTTATACACCTAATCACATATAAAAAAGGATATTGCCTATCTCAATAACTCAGACACAAACAAACAAGTTAAGCATTAAGCCTACATTTCTGAACCATAAGTTGATTTTTGTATGTTTTTATTTTATTATTAGAACTATTCTATAAAATGTATATTTGAAGAGCCTCCAGCATTTCTTTGCAATTATAAATCATCTTGTTTCTCGACTTCTCGTAATCCACAACATGTGCTTCAGGACGTCTGAATAATCCATTGGGAGCCAAGTCTTGCGGAACTGTCCTTTCAGCGTGTCGGAGTGCTCAGTTATGTTGGATGGTCCAAATTCAATTCTACTGAGTGACAGTAACTTGCTGTATGTTCCTAATAGATGGCATGGTGTTCATTCCGGGGGGTGGGTAGAGAGAGCCGTGAATATCCGACGGACTGAGTGAGCCTGGTACCGGCTGAGGACTGACTGAACCGGGGTCACTGTGCACTGATCCTCCGCTGCCATCAGATCCCATTTTCTTTTTGATTAATTTCCTTTCCTTGGCTCTGCGATTTTGAAACCAAATCTTCACCTGTAAATGTAAAAGAAAAATGTGTCAAAATTTGTATTTCGTTTTATATTTGATTCATCATTTAATTTGTCAAGTCTAGGGCCCTAATGCTCTATCATTCATCGGTATAGACCTACCTGTCGTTCTGAAAGGCCAAGGTTCCCTGCAAGTTCTGACTTTCTTCTGATAGTGATGTAACGATTAAAATGGAACTCCTTCTCCAGTTCCAGTCTCTGGTGATCGGTGTAAACCACTCTGTATTTCTCCTTCGTTCTTGTTTTGCCTGAAATTATGAGAAGTTATGAGAATTCAATATGCTTCATAGGCCTAATTTTTAAATAGGTTAGTCACAATGAACATAGAATATGATGCAAAGTAATAATGCAATTTTAATGGTTTTCAAATTATTGATAAATACAGGGGCAATAGGCTATTTAAACTCCGAAGTTCATTCTTGTTTTAAATTCACCTTTAAAGCAGTAATTTTGAGTATTTATAGCAAGTGGGCTTAATACTAGAGAAATAAGATAATCAACAGGTTAATTATCAAAATGCCTATTAAACTTTATGCTTCGTTTATCTAATACATCTCAAAATTTGTATGAAACATCTTTAGGCTCTATCAACTGAAGTGGTGGCTATCATGTTAATCTAGATTGTGTTGCTTTGTTGGTAGATATGCAAATTGCGCAACTGATCTTTTGATCTCACTTTTTGAACAAACTGCAGAACAAAGAGTCTCAGAGATATTACCTAAACTCCATTGATGTGTTAAGAAGCAACACAGGACACTCAAAGGAGTGACAAGGCAATACTATCTCAGACATTTATCTAGCATGGATCAGGTTGCTTTTGTTGATCAATATACTATAAATACATAAACTTTTATCAGGTAGACAATAATATTAGTCGTTTTGAACAACATTGAAACATGTTGATATTCATAGTTATATATATAGGTCATGCTTGATACGTTTGACAAGGCCAGGGATAGCCTCCTATAATTAAATACTTGACAACACGTTTGATAAGCTAGCCTAATAATAAAAATACAAAACAATACATCTAGGCTAAAATATTTTCTGGATATTACAGTGGTTCGTTTTATAGCCAAGTTAATAAGCTATCAAACGACATCTACGAGTTAATTTAGGTTTATGTTACTATAACAGTCTAATTGAGAAATATAGGCCTAAAGTAAAGAGTTATATTTTCTACATATTTAATGTCTAGAGAATTAAGAGATGTTGTGGTTTATTGCCAAGTTATAAAGCTTTGTTTATATTCGTCAAAGACCTTTCTTTATTTGCTGTGAAAAACGTCACCCTTTCCGGCAATAGAACGCGAAGAATGGGAGCCGATGAAGACACTTTGGTGCATATCAAAGTAAAATGAGGTGTTAAACGAGGCCGCAGACTGAATATGACGGATAACCTCAAAACCTGAGACAATGTAGCAGGAAAAGTAGACCTCACATCTAGTTTACGGGAGTTGAGAAATTAGCATTACAAGTGCGCCTGGCGCCGTTTCTGATCTTGACACCTTCATCGTTTCCTCCATAAGGCTATAGGCCTGTATCAGAAAATAACTAAGATGTTAACGTTTTAATTAATATAATAGTTTATCAGACTAGTATCGCAATTGTAGGCCTACAGTTGCATTGTCAATAATGAATTCGACAAATTCGATCTAGAGCCTATCATTTTCCTCCTTTCGCTTCTGTTTTGAAGTTGCAATTTACAGTTTTCAAAATGTGCCTAATACAAACATTTTACATGCAACTGCGTACTTTTGGTGACATCTAATTTAAAACATGATTAGATAATGTAATGTTAGTGCTTCCTTTTATTCCTTACGAATCTCTCCTAAATTCGACCAAAATGCACTCATTACGCATTATGCATGAGGTTATTCGTTTTTACGGTGAGCTTTATCACTTAAATTATGCAATTATTTTTTATACTGTATCAATTCTCTAAATACTACCTGTTGCACTTGCACAACTTTTATGAGCCAACACCAGCATATTTCACAGCACAAGAGAAAAACACAACAATTTCGTCTCTTCTTAGCAAAATATGAAGATGTAGTTTGGCATGAGTTGATGCTGTGCTCTTGCACGAATGATTTTAACAGTGTCATGCATTTATTGGCTCAAGCTTGTGACCTTACTCACCCGTGGAAGATGATTGTACCGTTTTGCTCATCCACTGGTAAGAAGAATTGCGCCTTTCTCTATCCGGGGAAAGTTGAGCAACAGAAATATTATCTGGAGGTGATTGCAATACTGCTGACCCTGGCGCGTGCATGGGATTATATTCAGGTGAGCAATAGGAAACTTGTCCTGGCGAGGAGTTGTTCATGGGCGTAGGAATAGTGTTAGGAGGCCCCAGACTATAGGCGCCCCAGTCCTCTCTCGGTGCGCCATAAGGAGCTCCCCAAGCCCCCGAAGACTGTGCGTGCGTATCCATGTTTGGCACATGATGGTATCCAGTAAAGTCGGAATATTGTGGCGTGGAAACAAAGTTCTGTGGTGGGATGTTGATGCCCGATCGTCTTACAGGTCCTTGGTGATACATGCTGCCTTCTTTATCCAAAAGGTATCCCACATGCATGATTTGAAAAAAAAAGACAAAAGTGACTTTCAAGTGGACATAGTTGCCCTGCAACTGCGTCAAAAAATGTTAATAACAATCCTCTTGCTGTGGTTCTGTTGTGTGTAGTCCAATGGTGCTCCCCAAAATGAATTGCGAAGTAGTTCCTGACGTGATACTTTCTCACAGGATGTGGCTCTGTTGTCAAGGTGGTGGTGGTGGTAAAGGTATACTAAGGTCTTCCTTCCTGACGTCAGAAGAGTCTTCAAATCCCGAAGATTTGCATTCAAATGACGAGTCAATAATGCTGCCAAACCCACTGTCCTCTAGCGCCTGTTTTACGCATCACCCCAAAAAGAGCAAACTCCACTCCCAACTCTGAAATATTGGCGCCATGAATCAAAATATAATCGCAAAAGTGAATTGCAACAAACAATATGCTTAAATGGATATGCTTCTGAACACGTTAGGCCTTATACATATCTCTCAGGCCAATTTAAGTGTGCTTGCAATATATTTTCTATTTTCAACAATATTTTTTATTTAGGCCTATTAAGTTGCATACATTATTCTTTATTAGAAATAAAGATGTGACAGCCTTGGCCTTATTTTAATACAGGACTATTACTGTGCTATAATAAGCTAGGCTATTTGTAGGCTATTATATTATATAACGTGGCTATTATATAGGCTATTATATATATAGGCTATTATATAACGTGCAATTGTAGATGTCAATTTCTTGATTGTGTTGATGTCATTCTGTTTTGTGTCAGAGAATAATAAAACAAACAGCATTAAACATTTATTAGACGCTCTTACAGTTAGTGAGTGCATAAAAAAAAAAAATCTCACACTGGCCCCCCGTGGGAATCGAACCCACAACCCTGGCGTTGCAAGCGCCATGCTCTACCAACTGAGCTATGTGGTCCTCTGTAGCTCAATTGCTAGAGCATGGCACTTGCAACGCCAGGGTAGTGGGTTCGATCCCCGGGACCACCCATACGTAAAAATGTATGGGCACATGACTGTAAGTCGCTTTGGATAAAAGCGTCTGCTAAATTGCATATTATTATACCAACTGAGCTACACGGGGCTATTTACACGGGGCTATTTACAGCAGGGATCATCAACTAGATTCAGCCACAGGCCTATTTTTTTCTTAAGCAGATGGTTAGGGGGCCAGAACAAAATTACATTTACATTTACATTTTAGTCATTTAGCAGACGCTCTTATCCAGAGCGACTTATATGATGACATATATAATAATATAATGCATGGGAATACTTGGGAACAGATTTCTAAAATTAAAATAACTTGGAGCTGATCTCCTGGTGTTTTTAGAGTCCAAAAATGAAAATTCTAACAAAAAAAAACCATTTTTTTTTTTTAATGCTCTGAAAACTTGGTGGGACAAATAAAACCACCCGCGGGCCAAACCCTCATTTACAGTTCAGGTGATGGTCCAACACAACCGCCACACTCTCCTTTACTTTGGTTGAATAATGTATTTGGGGCTAAACCTGCTAATATGGGAAGGCAACGTCTCCCATGTCCCCAGACACGTTTCACGCTTTCGGAAGCTGATCGTATTTGTTAAAGATATTCACTTGCAAAATAGGTAGAAAGTATGATGAGACTTTCTCCTGTAGCAAGGCGAACTTTTCACATTCCTTTTAGTTCGCACTTCGACACTTCAAGGTCGCACTTCACAGCTAATTCCGGTTTAACCTATGACACCCGCTCAACGACAATGTGGTCTTACGCCCGTGCGTGCCAATATATTAGGCATGATCTTAGTTGTTATCCGTCCCTATTTTACATAAGAGATGGCATAATAAGTCTAAAATCAATTGCAATATCTATCGTAAAACAATCCAAACGAATCGAAGTACAATTGTCTAACATAAGCCTAGTCTCAGGCCTACTATTAACACATGTACTTTACTAGGCCTACAAATAGGCCTATTTATTTATTTTAAAGCATTTGATGTTTTTATATATGACTGATAATAGTTTTTTCACAACAGACAGTTGGAGTCAGACAGTTGGAGTCATCTAGTGTCAAATAAACCCAAAGGAGATAAAGGTTGACCTCCAGTGTGCTTTTTTGTGTGTTAAAGGTAGGAAACAGATATTGAACAGGAGACATGTTTTCCTTTTTGGGTGGGTGGGAAAGGTGATCAAGAAGCCATGACCATGCCAGTGCCTTGCAATGCAAATATTTGGTTTATGTAAAAAAAATCAGAGGACATATGCTACAGATAGAGAGATCTGTCCATTTGGGTCTACTGCATTTACAGGAATTTTATTTCATATTTCAAAGTGAAGTATGGCTTCTGAATCTCATTGACCATACACTAAATAGGCAAAAAACTCGAAACAAAGTAAAGCCACATTGACACAGGTCAGGTGCCTTGACTGACTGTAACCAAAAAATTGCTTATTTCCCCAGGCTCTGGTGGAAGGATATTTGAGCTGAGATAATTGACAGCCACTGCTCCCTTGTGGATGGACACAGAACTCCAGTTAGTGGCCTACCAGAGGTTAAATCCAGCCCTAACAACTGCCAGGTAGTCTCCTCAAGAGGGCACCATCTACCAGGGAATGAGATACTGTGCACCCTATAGTATGTTTGGCAATTTGTGCATAAAACACTGATGCCTTCAGCAAAGGCACTTACAGAGCCATTGACAGTTCTGAAGTGCTGAGTGTATATTACAATACAAGCTGAATTGCTTTACAGTTGGCCTATGTGGTGTACAAGTTATTCCAGTGCAGAATAGCAAACAGAATCTTCATTAAATAAATCTACATATATGTTTTTTCCCCTACTGAAACCAACTCATCAGCTGATATCCCTCTGTATGGACCTTGATAAGTGCATTCTATAGGTTTGTACAATGTGTAATTACAGGAGGTGTCAGAGTTACTTCTATATTATTGGGCCACTGGATTGTACATTTATGTAAGGAGTTTAGTTATAAATACATGTACATATAAAATGTATGCAATGGTGTTTATTGACATACTACACTGACACATAACATACACTCACACACACATGCATATTGACGCCACACACACACGCACGCACACACGCACGCACACACGCACACACACACACGCACACACACTCATACATAGAAACACTTTCACACTCTTCACATACACTGCTGCTACTCTGTTTATTATATATCCTGATTGCCTAGTCACTTTTACCCCTACCTACATGTTCATACTGTATTACCTCAATTACCTTAACTACCTTGTACCCCTGCACATTGACTCGGTACTGGTACTCCTTGTATATAGCCTCGTTGTTGTTCTTTTCTGCAGTGTACTTTGTGCTGCGTCCTGTGACTGCATTACTTCTTGTCAGTGACTGCCCTCTGGTGATGACAGAGTGAACCCCTTTTTGCACATTTGATTCTTCTCTCTTTGTAAACTCAAAATCACTATGGCAATTAAACACAAAATATATAGTAATGTGGTCTCAAAATAATAATTCCATAGGTCCAATAGATTCATATTAAAGTATGTTTCTGCTTCCATAACTCGAACCATCACAATATTGACCAGAAATTATTCTAAAGGCAGTGACATGAGGTTGGAGAAGCACAAGTTTTTTGTTGGTTGCATAAGTCCAGAGATGTTGAGATGAACCACAGGACTTCACTGCAGGATAAGTGCTAAAACATGACCTTGTGACCTTGTGACCTAGTAATTCTATAGATGCTGCTCTGACTGACCCATATGTCACTGATAGAGCAAGAGACACTGGTTCTCAGTTTGTTGATTGGATGTAACATCTTCACATGCACTCTCAAGTTCAAACCGGATGCTTGTTGAAGCCCAACTCAGGTTAAAGTATTTCAATCATTTTCTTCAGGGGATAACAGGAAAGGGTGTTTGCTAGCTTGTTGAAACAGCCCAGTGTGTTATCATAAGATTTACAATAAACATTTTGTGTGTCTACAGGACAGGAGATGTCTTTTTTAAAGAAGTAAAGGATTTTCAGAGAGGAAACGTGTGCAGGAAACTTCAAGCTGAAGACATCCCTCTCAGAGCACAATGTACTTACTGTATGTGTATAAACAGCTGCACTTCCACTAACTCATGTCCTAGTCACCCATAGATTGATTAAACTTAATGTACACTGTTTTAAGTGAGAGAAACAACTTATTCACAGGCTGTAGTCATCATGTAAAACAAGCTACTGACAAATGTGGTAAATAATAGTTTTACAAGTATTGAATTCCATCAAATAGCTTTGTCTAAATACTAGGCCATTGTTGCTCAGGATAGAATGAGCTGGATATGACAAAATGACAACAAGCTAAAGGGAATGCAGAAAAACAGAGCATGATATGCATGTGTTCTACAAATGTACTGTAGAGCATGCTCATTTCAAGACTGAATGCTCTTAAAAATAAACTAAAACAAAGATCCCATTCTATTTAGGTTCCTTTCCATTCATGTGTTGTGCATTAGAGAGATGAGATGGACATAGTTCAATTAGGATTCTACTTTTTTTTTTTCAAAAAGCAGATTAATATAGACAAATATGAGTACAGATTGGTACAGTTCATGGTACATGGTAAAATAAGTGAAAATATATAAGGTGGTAAATTAACATAACAGAAATCATAAAACATTTCCAGCCAGAGATAATCATTATTATAAACAAAAAGAGCAGGGGGGGGGGGCTTTATTTCATGGTCCTCTGTAGCTCAGCTGGTAGAGCACGGCGCTTGTAACGCCAGGGTAGTGGGTTCGATCCCCGGGACCACCCATACACAAAAATGTATGCACGCATGACTGTAAATCGCTTTGGATAAAAGCGTCTGCTAAATGGCATATTAATAGTCCCATTATTGGGCTCCAACTTTTAATAAATGTAGGGCTTTATAATCTAAGTGAATGTGTTATTTCTTCCGTCTCATTCAGTTCCCAAACCTTTTGCAGCCACGAGTTATACGTTGGGGGGGGTTGGGTTTTAACCAATTCATTGTAATGG